CCTTGTGATGGGGAGGAAGGCTTGGGGGCTCATTCCATGATCATTCCAGTGGAGAAATCCCTCAGAACCAACATTCATCAAATCTGTGGCCATTATATCACTGGCAAGCAACTCCTGAGTTGCCAGGCCCTTACCCCAGCCTCTGGCAAGCCAGGTCCCTTTATGACTAGTCAGTCACATCTACCTTCAGTTTCCTGGGAGGTACTTTCCTCTACTATCCTACCTTCCCTCAGTGTCCTATTTTTCTGAAAATCAGACATCATGATTAGAAAAAAAGAAAATAATTCCGAAAGTGAAACTCTTTAAATTAATCTTTGAATTGTTGTAGTGAACATCAGGAGAAAGCAAGATTAGGATAGAAACAGAAATCAGTGTCTCATTTTAGCACTTTGCTTTCTCATGCCCTCTCCTTTATTAATGTCACACAGAGATGCAGTTAAAACAGCCCTTGGTGAGATCACTATGGCAAGCATCAGCTTTTCGTCTGTCCATCTGTCCAGGAGTTCTGTCCTATGTCAATACTGCTTACTTTGTTTTGTCTTAATGGTGAAACAGTTCTCTATTAAATGCCTAGCATATAGAAAAAGCTCAACAGTGATTTGATGAGTGAATGAAGAAAAGTCTGAAATAACTGAGGCTCCCAGTTATTTAGCACTTACTGTATGGAGGTGTTGTGCGTGGCACTCGACATTCATTATCTACCATACAGAGTACTGCTTACTCCCAACTTCCAGATTGGAAAATGTGGCTTAAAGAGACTTACTAAGGCATCTGTGGTTACGCAAGTGTAAATAATTACGCTGTAATCCAGTCCATAGTACATGCACTCAGCAGGGTTATGCTCTTTCCTCTAGAACTTACAGTTTAGGGTATTGGCTAGATGACCTGATACCGTCCAGCACTCCAGCAATCACATTCTACATCCTCTTACAACATCAGACAAGGTACATACTCTTGAGCCATTTCTTTCCTCCAAATGGCATGAATCGATGAGTGCAGCCAGACAAGACAAAAGTATTGGTTTAACCAAGCACTGTATATTTTTAACGATTTATTTGTATTTATTTATACATACAAGAGCTGGGGTGTGGGCCAGAGGTGGGGGGGGAGGGGGTGAGAAGACTCACCAGAGACAGAGTGGGGAGCAGAACAGGCAGGTGAACTGAAATACACTGCTGAGGGGAACAGCAGGTGAGACAGGAGAGGTCTGCTGCGCCATGTGGGTCAGCTCCCTGGCCGGGGAGCGAACTCGTGCTGCAGTGGCTACAGATAACTTCATAGTGCTGAGACTTTACTCCTGCACCACCAGGGATGACCCTTTAGCTGAGTACTATTAAGAAACCTTATAACTATTACTGCTGTGTGAAGATGTCTAATTTTTGAGAGGCAATTTGGTTTTCTATGTAGAAACTCATGCCATCTTGCTAAATGTTGAGGAACAGTAACCAGAGTTTTGGTCAAGTCTTACTGTCTCTTCTGGTTAGTAATCTGAGGAATAATGATTTAAAGTCCAACTATAGAGAGTTAAAAAGATTAACTTTTATACACTTTTATTAGTTCATGGCCAGTAGGCCTTTACAGCATAAAATGACAGGCAATATGATAACAAAATACTTAAATTTCAAATATCTATAAACGGTTGAATCAGGCTTTCTTCAAGGTTGATTTGGCATGAGCCCATAAGACAAGTAATGAGGAAGAAAGCACTAAACAAAAAGAGCACTTGAACTGATGGCCCCAACTTTAATGCTCTGGGCAATGAGAACTAAGTCACAGAAACCTCAGAGCTGGGTGGGCAGGGACTGATCCCTTCTAGACCTTGGTGTGTCCAACACAACTTGGCAAGGAGGCCAGGGCACGAAGCCGGCTGACCATGACACACTGGCAAAAGTGCCCCCATGACAGACTGGACATTGTCTGCATCCTTTATACCCCTAATGATCAGGCTGTGAATAACAGAACCATCACACAGAGGCCTACTAATGCAGAACATTCCTGTGGCTTCTACTATTTTCCTATTATAAACAAAATACTACTATCAATCAGAGACGTATTCTCTATTTCTTAAACCGTATTACAGATTAGTCCCTATTAGGCAGTTATGCAACAATATTTTGTTTCACTGAGCAAATGTCTTTCTATAGGCAAATTTAACTGATACTGCAAATAGCTTAAGTACTGATTCTTGCTGTTCTCTTCAGTGCCAGACATTTTCACTTTAATAAATGAAAAATGGTGACCTAAGGTTTTAACATACATTTCTTTAATTAACACAGCAAGTTTAAATGTTTCCCTATACATTTACTTGTTCTAACTGCTTCTTCTTTAAAGAGTGATCTCACTGACACTCAGTTGATTCATCTGCAAAATGCAGGGAGTGGCATGTCTTGCACACTAGTGCTGTGAAAGCCAAGTACAATCATTTAGGTGAAACCACTAAAGAAGCCGGCAGTACCTGCTCCATTTTAGTGAAATAAGCAAATCCGTGAGTAGGTGGCTAGTTAAACGGAACTCACAGTAGTCAACATTAATCTAATATTCACGGAGAATCCAGGCATGACACCAATGATGGGAAAAAGTAGAGTTTTCAGGGTGACATCCAAAAAAAGACGCATTGGATTGAAAGAGAAGGTAGATATCACTTTCCCATCAACACCTGCTATCTCAAAAGCAGATATTTACATAAAGGTTACACAGTGCACAGCACAACCTCAACAAGCCTGGATATAAGCATGCGTCTTGATACCTTTCTACTTCCTTTCACTCGTTTCCTCCCAGAGGTCCTAGATTTTTTTATCTCCACATTTGCTGATAAGTTTTTAGCCTTGGAAAGAGCCTACTGACTTTTTTTTTTTTTAAATAAAAAATGAAAACATAGGATACCCCTTATTATTTGAGGGAAATAATCTATGCAATCAAAAAGGAAGTTATTATTGAAGCACTTAATAAATTAAAAATCACTATATTACTGGAAACCACTGTTATCACCAAAGTGGAAGGCATGGGTGTCACAGGACAGGTTGGCTTGGAACTTACAAATCAATGTTAAAATGGAATCATGTCTATAAAGGGACCGACACAGGACGTGCACTTGATCCCAGATTTCAGTGTCTGCTCAAACATATGGCAGCTCTTGCTCACAGACCAAGCTATGTGAAGCCTAAGTGTAAACAATGTTCCCTTTCTGGGTGTCTGAATTGACTCTAATGTCATCAAGAACAGTGACTGAGAAAAATTATTTGAAAAAATTAATCATCATGAGTGAAATTTACTTGTTCTCTTTTTACTAAGTGACCAGCATCACAAGCCATTGAACCTCTCTGATGCCAAGGACAGCTGTTTGAAGGAGAAAAAGGCCCAGAAGGTGGGTCTGTTTGCATCATTTCATCAACTGAGCTTCCGTATGCGGTTTATGATTGACTTTGTGAAAACAGATAGTCAAACATTGGTCAAGTCCCCTGAAAGGTATCCAGAAAGCTGTCCTTGCTTGTTGCACTAACAGAGCTGTAAAAGTGGTGTGTAAGTACCATGATCCCTTATGAAACAGAGACTTGCCCTCCGGAACATGGTCCATTTGCTGTCCTTTGGAAATAGTGAGTCAGACCATAGATCTAAGAGCAGCAGAAGTGGTTCTTCATAAGAGGTCAAATAAATGCTGATTAAAAAAAACCCAAAAACTAAAGCCAACTCAATATATCATATGTTCTCTTAGTATCTTCTTTCTGCATAGAAGAAAATATATTCTCAAAAGTCAGTTTTTGAAATTGTTGCTCAATGAAAGATATAAAGCATACTAACCTATTTTTTTTAAATGATTCTGATACTTCATACCAAGATTAGACTACCCTTTTAATAACAGTACTAAGTTAGTCCAAATTTTTGACACTTAGAAAGCATAGCTTATTACAAGAACAGTCAAACTATCCATTATAATTCACAGCAACTTCAGAAGTTCAATCAATATATGAAGTAACTGATGTGTTCAAAGTTTCACAGGAACAGAGAAGAGCCAGGGAATTCAGGAAAGAGAATAGAAATTGGGCTTGGACATTTGAGGCTCTTCAGCCCCCTGAAAGGTATGCACTTTAACCTGTGCTGATTAAGCAGAGAGCTGTCTGCGTAACTGAGAATATATATCCCTAGGGAAAAAACAACTCAGGACTCTCTTGGTTCTTCGGCATTGCAGACGCCAAATTCTCCCACTCAGCACTGAGCTCCATGTCTCAGGTCTCTGCCTCAGAGACACAGCGGTGCCACAGCTACCCAGGTTCCCAGAACACAGAGCTCTGTATTTTGCATCCACCTTCCTCTACTTTCTCTTTAGTTCCCAGTGGACCCAAAGGTGGTGAACTGGGGCCACAGGTCCCTCCTTAAACCTTTGCAATCACAAGGAGCATAAGCAGCTAGTGAAGCTAGGGTTGCATGCATGCAAAATTTCTGCTGACTAGCTTATGGTGGATTTGACCATATGAATAACTCTTCTGTGTGACAGAATCCACCTTTGTCATTTCCTCTCCCCATGACTACAAGCCTGTGTGTGTCCTGTGGTGCCCACTGCTGTCTGGGGTGGTTATGTGTGGGTGTACTGCGGTGGGTCTGTGATTTAGAAATGAAGGTCAGGAGCTCCACAATCTTCGGTTCTAACAGCATCCAGTCACTCAATTTAGTTTATGAACTTGGTCTCCGAGACAAATAGTGGTTATTGACTCAAACGCAGGTGGCCTTGTGCTCAAATGGTTGAATGGGGGTCAATCTACTATTATGAGGGAAAAAGGAAAATTACTCCCATGCATGTTTTACCTTTATGGTAAGTACCACTGGAGAGCGCCTGACCAGTCATGACCAAGTGACAAAATCACATCTTCCCAACTAGTACACATACATAAAATAGCATTGTTATAAAAGCACAATTTTAAAATCAAAAGACTATCTTATTCCATTTTAGCATTAACACATTTAACTGCATTTTTTTTAATGCCGTATATAAGGAAATGGTTTACCTTCCAGCATTTTTTGCAGACTGTTCCTCATGACATGGATGTTCTCTATTCCAATAAACTGAAACTTGATATTGGAGTAATTGTCTTCATTCTCATAGCCTTTTCCTGCAGCACGATTTGCCATTGCATTAAGCTGCAGTGGTCAGCAAAACACGACAGTCACCAATTACATTCAGGACATGAAACAACCAAACATTTAATGGCTTATCTGTAAAAACATTCAAAGGTGCAGAAGCATAAAGTGCTTTAAATCACTGGAATACTGTACTGAGCTACGCAGTCTTAGGCACTCATGTTGAGCTGCTTTTCACAGGTGAAAAGTGATGTGGGGAACATTTTCTTAGCTGGGAAGCATTCTAGGTAAGCCCTTCTGGAGATGCCTCTCGTCAGAGGTGTGAAGTCGAATATAAAATTGTGTGGCCAACAAAGCTGTCCCCATTTAATACCAAACCTAACAACATTTAGGTTGACAGAGGAATATCAACAGATACAGCTAGCAACATAAAGCTCTATCAGTTATGACATCTTCCAACACTATTGCCAATAAACAGGTCATCAAATCAGAATTGTTAGGTCATCCTAATATGCCTACAGATATACAATGAAATCTTGAGCAGAAATCACTGAATAAATTGAAACGAGGGTGCGAGAAGCTAAGTCTCCAGAGACATTTCTCCCAGCCACCTTATTTAAATCTAGACACCCACCAAAAGGACTTTTTTGACCACTTTCATTGTCATAATTTTATGAGATGTTAGAGTTTCCTAGTGCAAACTAGGTTAAATGATAATGGACTCTGAAGAAATTTATTAACAGCAAACTTCTCAAATCAAAAAGTAGACAAGCCCTGCCTTTGCTGGAAAATAGACAGATTTTCAGATGACTGCTAATACTCCATTCCTGCTGTTTGGCTAAGCTGGTTTTACACCGTAAAAACCAGCATTCACTACCCACTCTCTCCCTCTGTCAGAAAAGGGCAGAAGCTCTATGCCAGGCAGACACCAGAGGAACTCACCACCAGAAATCACTTTCACACCACAATGCAGTCCTGGGATGATATGAATATTCATGTTCAAAAAACCACATTTTAAAAGCTAAGTTAAGAATATGTATCCTTTGACCCAGATCTCCTACTTGTGAGAATCTTATACAATTAAAAATATCAGCACGTAAAGATAGCTGTCCCAGAATTGCTTTTTTTGTAATATAACATTTTTCCTGAGAGTAAATACTTTTACAACAGTATGAAGCTTTTTATAAAACAAAAAACTAAAAACCTACAAACATATCAGTAGGGAAATGACTGGATAAATTATGATATAATCAGACCTTGAACTACTCACAGAACCAAGGAGGACAAACATACTTACAGACACGAATTTGGCTCACTAAATGTTAAGTGAGAGAGTGAGCTACAGAAAGCTATTCAAACAATCATCCCAGTTTTGTAAAGCAAGCCAATCTACAAATATGTCCTCAGTTATGTGTATTTGACTAAGCAGAGTAAAATGTAAAGATGGGTGTGCCAATTAGGTGACCGTGAGGACCAAGGGACACTTTCAATACAACTTTAGATTCCTCCATATTCCCTGTTGCAGAGGTGATAAATTTGCTTTGTAATTTTACTGATAGAAATAGACATGAAAGACAGCAGGCAAGCCATTGCTGTAAGGCGTGCCTCACTGTCCTTCTCCATGATTTCACTCATGTGACAACGACGGGGCACATGAGCCCCTTGGACAGTGTCCAGTGATTAAACACTGTCACTGTCCTCCCAGGCATGTTATGGGGAAAAAACTTATCTCAATCAAGGACAAATATTACAATAATTTTATTTTTAAGACAATGTATGTGCATATTTAAAAATTTTTAAATAATTTAAGGGGAATATTCTTTTCCAGGGAACACTCTTTTCCAGGTAATTTACCTATAGACATTTCTCTTTTGAAACCTGCTGTATAACGTGTCACTGCTTTCGTCAAATTATATTCCAAAGCTGTTGGCTTACCCTTTAAGCCAACACACAATTTAAGCTTCAAACAATAAAATGATTAAGTAGGATACTTGCAAGTATTCTTACATTACATATATCATGAATAATTCAGCCTACTCACCACTGTTTATCCTGTATCTTGAATAACTCAAGTGTAGCCTACTCACCACATACCACAGATATTCTTTTTGACTAGTATAATTTTAAAAATCCAAAATGCCATTATTATTTTAATCCATAATTCGGACTCTATAGTTTTATACAGTCAATGATCATCAACCTGGGAGAATTTACTATAGTCATCTTAAAAGTAAAGAAGCTTTCAAGATGGATTCTTGAAAGTCAACAGTAGTTATCATAGTGAACAGAAGGTGGCAATATTTAATCTACCATCCAAAGTGTCACTGCTCAAGGCTTCAACATAGTTCACAGGATCTATTATAAAGTGGCAAGAGCTGCATCCTCAAAGGAGAAAAGACACTTTTATAATGGATAAAAATTCATGAAGCAGTCCTGGATGTATTTAGATAGCATTATCTCAAATAAAAGAAGTCTCATCTGGTCTCCTCTCTTTTTGACTGAGAAGTCCATTTCACAGCCAAAGGAAAACAGATTCACTTCAGCTCCTAAAAATTTCCAACTAGATAAAACAATGATAGCATCTTAAGGAATACAACACAAAGTGGAAAAAAGCCCTGGAAAAAGTGCTCCACTTTCTAACCCAACAGCATTCTCCTGTTTAATAATCTCAACATTTTTGGAGGCAACAAAGCTCATTAAGAGAATCGAAAAGGACCCACGCATTTCTTACTAAATACTCATGAATACCCACTGTGTGCTAGGCATTGACTGGAATAAAAAGATGAATGAGAAGCTGTTTCTCCTGCTACCAGCCGATCACTAAGTATGGTGGGGAGGAAGGTGCCCAGCACCAAGGAACGGACAAAACCCACCCGAGCGGGCAGGAGCTGAATGACTGGCAGACGCTGTCCTGGTGGCAGGAGCTGAAGTTGAGAGGCAACCCCCCTGGTCCAGGGGACCAAGAGAATAGTTCATGAAGGACATCTTAACGTGGGCTGTCATAAACTGGAAGGATGGAGACAAAGCGGGGGGCATTCCAGGTGAAGCCTTGAGGAGGAGAAGAGATGGGGGTGGGGGGGTGCAAAAGCAAAAAGGTCATGGCTATGAGTGAGCAGCTAGCCCAGGAAGTGTGAAAAGTCTGTGCATGGTGTCAAAAACTTGAGTGTGGAGCAGTGGTAGCAAGAGAGCAGTCTACAAGCTGTTCTGGGCCCTCTGTGAACAGGCTCAATTAAGATGTGCAGATTTTATCTGCAGCACCAGAGAACAAAGTATTCTGAATAATTTTAATTGACAAAATGCGAGACTGATTTAGTATCCACAGCAAAGATGATGTACTGGAATAGGGAGAGCCTGGAGACAGGGAGGCAGAAAGAGGGGGCGGGAGGTCCAGGGGAGCACAAACAGTCTTGCTTGTGGCAGCCTCAAAGGCTGCAACTACACTGAACAGGCACCCGAGGAACACTGACTGCCTGGCAGACCGATCAGATAAATGGCTGAGGAGCACGAGGAAGCTGAGAGGTCAACGTTTACAATGCATTAATCAATGATGTTAAAACGTAGATTCATACTTTTCCCCTAGCCCTACAGTCAAACTATCAAACACATCAAAATCATGAAAACTCAGCCAGTGATAATCTTGATATTCAGTCAAGGTCAGTCTGGTCACTGTTTTAGCCATGGAGTATAAAATGTCAGCAGAGGACATTCTATACCTGAGTAACGACGGGGCCTGATGGACATGGTTAGGGAATGGGAGCAAAAGTTGGTCCTGGCAAGGACAGGGCCACATCCTTGCACCGGTGCCAAAAACCCATCTAGGCCCCTCCATCTGTGACTGGAGAAATGACCCTGGACGCGTGTGGCATGAAATGAAATTATGAGATGATTTTATTCTTTGCAAATACTAATCTGCTACTGGGAGAGCCAAATTCTTCTTTCTCATCCCCTATGCACAGTGGGAATTAATAGTTCGGAGACTATACTCAGGTGGGAAATCTCCACCCTGCTCAGTTTAAAATTCCAACCCCATATGTGAAGCAAAATTTTCTTTCCTCATTACCGCATTCTGGACTGCAGAGTTCGTCAGCCCTGGCACTCTTTCCCTTTCCTTTTTCTTGTAGGCTCTAGCTCCATAGTGGGGGAGGAGAGAGATGCAGCTGATGGACAAGAAGAGAGACAAATATCTCCTTAGAAGCAGGCAACACTGCCATTCTCTATTGGTTGTCCCTGTTTTTTGGGTTCACACTATCACTCAGTATCACTGCCTGCTGGCATAAGTGTCCAGATGTTCAGTCTCCTGGGGCATCTGTGTGGGCACTAGAGGTAGGACGTAACAGTACACTGACGCAGGAGGTCCACACGGCATGCAGCCCCTCTCTCCCTCCCACACGCACACCTTCACTTGGGGAGCTCCAGTGGACAAGCCCTCTGTGGACACTGCAACACAGCTGGCAACAACGTTCTTCTGTGTCCCTTGGCCGACAGGAATTTCTCCTTCCTTGGTCTGCCCAGGAGATGAAAGGCAAACTGCCCAGTCCACTAAGCTGCTGTCTCTCCAACTCCCCTTCCCCTGCTCACCGCCATGGGGACATCCGCTGGTAGGCTGTGCATTCCACCAGACGAGATGCTGAATCTCTTCTCTGAGACACCCCCAACTCTTCAGAGTGGATTCTCTTACCCACCTCTTGCCCAGGATTCAGATGGTAGAAACCACTAATTACTGATTCCAGAGAAACAGAAAAAGCCCACTGTGGCATCCAGTTACACAGCTATGAAGTCACTTGTAAGGTAAAACCAGAAGCCATGGCCACAGGGTTGTCTTTGGAGAAGAGCAAAGGCAAAAGTCAGAGTGAGCGGAGGCAGGTGCTGCTCCCCCTTTCCTGCTCAGCTCTTCCTTCCGAGGCACTGGTGTAAGAGCACAGCTCTGGGGCTTCTCACTTGCAGGGCCTGGCCTGATTGGGGATGAGGTTGTGGCTGGTCCTTCAGCTCAGTCTCCAGCCTCCCTGGATGTGGGCCCAGCAGTACCACCCTCCCGAGTCTTCCCATGGACCTACGCCTTGCTGCCAGCCAAGCCTGGATGTGAATCTGTGCTCCGCCCTGAACTGTGTGACCTTGCAGGATTATTTAGCTCCCTAAATCTAGGACCTTGTCCATAAAAAGAAAAGAACAGCTTCTGATCTGCGGGATTATGATAAGAATTAAGTGAGAAAGTATCTGATATTTTTACAAGTCATGATACAAGTTAATGACAGAATCATGGACAAGGCTGAGCTGAAATGAGTCACCTCTCGCTTTACAATTCTGCAAGATGGTGCAGACACTTTCCCATCCTCATGCACCGAATCCCAGTGGTTGTGTGAGCTTAAGGGTATAGTATTTGTGAGTGGGTAGTCAGCGCATGCTCAGGACCTGCTTTCCTCCAATTTTAATGCCAACAAGCAGTCAGAAGGCTTTCACCTGAACTGACGGTATCTGGGGCTGGCCACACTCAAAGGACACGAATGATGCAGCAGTCTCATCACCCTTTCTCTTTTTAATTAAACCTGTGAGCACATTTGGACAGAACCCCATTTGCCACTGCCCAGTACCTCTAGCAAACAGGTCAGTCTCCTGGCTACCAAGGAAGTCTAGCACACTCTGGAACAAAAATCAACAGAATCGGTCTTTAAGAGAATGAGAGCTCTAAGCAAACAGTTTCGGACGCATGTGGCATGTGCATGCACACGGTAAATACCAGTGGGGGAGACTGGCAGGAGACACCAATTTTCCTTAATGGATCAGAATCAAACTTCTTATCGCTGAAAGTAAACACACTCACTGCTAAATATACACTTCAAATCCAAGCCTTTGGATTAATTTATTTTAAATCTGGACTATGCCTGACTCAACAGCTGCCACATTTCCTAGAAGGTTTACATAACTTGGATCACTGGTCCTGAAACGAGTATGTGAATCTGTTTGCTTTTATTTAAGTCTGGGAAAAGGCAAGTGATGCCCCCACCGTGTTTTCTTTTTCTTTCTCCATCTTGTCTTCAGTGTGTGTCTGAGAAGCGGAGATGACTTACTTGTCACAAGTCAGTGCTGCTAAGAGGAAACACAGAACCGTCCCACGTTAGTTCATAAAAAGGTGAAGTGACTAAGGAGCATGAGGAGCTAGAGAGGAAAAGCACACATCAAAAGAGAAGAGGAAAAGTCAGAGACTTCCTGGCCTCTTTCGGGTCAAAGTCTTCAAGAAGAGAAGTTACTTTTCCCCCCCCAGTCTGAAGCTCTCACCTGTGTTACTGTACTTTGAGAATGCATCCAAGAAGAAGAAATCTATATACATTATGCGCAGCACATGGCCAGCCTTGCGACCAGCCCAGCGTGTGATCAGACTCGCTCATCGGGCATCAGAGAGTAACTCCGTCCTCACTGCTCCAGCCACATCTATCCACAGCCATCCTGTCGCCAGAACCAGAGGGGACCGTTCCAAAGTCGGGGACACTAGGAGGGCACTGATCTTACACCAGGACAATCAAATGAAGCGTCCAGCCCATGCGTCATAATACTGGATGAAATGTGGCTCCGATCAGCCATGAAAATTCCGAGACGTGAACCCAGAGCTCCCCAGTTCACATATGCCCATGTGTGCATGCCGTCTGTCCACACGGAAAAACTATTCTTAAGGTCCATGTGTTCGTTTAAGTGACCTTCATTCCTCCTTCCCGTTCTGATATTTATTCCCTAATGTTTTTTTTTAAAAGTCATTTATTTCACTGGCATATAATTCACACACCATTATTATTCATCCATTCAAAGTGAATCATAAGTCAATAGTGTTTGGTAGAATCACAGCAGTTGTGCAACCATCACTGCAATCTATTTTTAGAACACTTTAATCGCTCCCCTACCCCACTCCCCAAGCCCTCTACCCTTAGCTGTCATTCCACATTTCCTCCTCTCCCCTGAGCCCTAGCCTCCATCAGGCCACCTCTGTCTCTACAGGGCCTATTGTGGGCATTGCATACAAACGGAATCAGACAACGTGTGGTCCTTCCTACCTGACTTCCACTTAGTGTAACATTTTCAAGTTTCATCTGTGTCACAGCACATATCAATATTTTGTTTATTTTTATAGTCCATTGAATGGATGTACTATATTTTATTAATCTATTTGCAACTGATGGGAATTTGGCCATTGTTACTCTGATTATTATTAACCAGGCATTAATATTCATGGAAACTTTTGTGTCAACCTAAGTTTTCATTTCTCTTGTGTTAGGTGCAAAACCTTTGGGTCAAATGACAGCTGTATGTTTAACACAGCCCTTGGGCTCTTTCAACTTTTTCACGATTAAAAAATTTCAAAATGCAGTCCACAAGTAGAAGTTTCTTAAAATTCCCCTCTCACACCAGATAAAAGCACTAGTAACAGTTTGGTATAATGTTCCCCCAGTTTTTTTCAATGTATATAACAGTATATGATTTTATATTATAACAGCTATTACGCAAATGGTCTTAAACGTAGCTGCTGTATCTAGTTCACCTTCCACACCCCTAGAGATCAGCTGCATGTACCTCTCTCTCTCCAATCAGAGCTCCAGGTATATGTGCATTATTGGCTAGAAACTGTAATCCTAAACATGCTGAGCAGGGCCACTCCTCTGCCTTCTCATGTTGCTCTACACAGTCCAAGCACCTGTATGTGACTTTGTTTCCACATACTCACTAGCACATTCCTCGGAGGGAGCCACCTATGTTTGGGTTTGTGAGCTTGTTTAGACAGAAGTGGGTCTAAGGAATAAATTTATATTGGATATAACACTAGCTATTCTTTAAAATATAAATCTGAGTGGGAGGTAAGTATAAAACCCACCTGGCAACCTAATGATAAGATTTATTACTTCCTACTGACTGTCTTAATAGGTGATAAAATCAATACATTAGTATATGGACAACTGTAAAATAATATTTTAAACAACAGGCAAGAAGACAATTATCTACAAATCCTCCCTTCTCCATGGAATTTTAATAGGTGGGTGTTTGTGCTTCCAAATCTTTTTCTATATATTTTTGCACACCTACAGTTCTGTTTTGTTTTATTACATAAAGAGTAGGTATATTATTTTATGACTTTTTTTAAGATTTATTTATTTATGCATACAGAACTGGGGGGGGGTACAGGCCAGAGGTGTGGGGGCAGAACAGGCTGACTAATGAAGTTCACTGCTGAGGGGAGCAGCATGTGGGTCAGGCGAGGTCTGCCCCACCATGTGGTCACCTCCGGGGCGGGTGGGGATCGAACTCATGCTGAAATGACTTTAGCTTCTTAGAGCTGTGCTTTAACCTGCTGCGCCACCAGGGAGGGCCCTTTATGACTTATTTTTACTGAACATTATATTTGGTAAAACTTCCCAAGTAGTCAATGACAGAGATCACAAAGTAACTTTGAACAGGACTGAAAGACAGCTGAATGCCTCACAAAACTCAAGCACTGGAGGGCCTTAGTAAATTTCATATTGTCAAAGTGAATAAAGGAATTTTAAAAACAAACCAAAGAGTAAGTTGATGTATTTAGGACAGCGATCTCCAAATTAAATCACACTCATCTGTTGTGTGCACCCTGCACCTACCACAATGCTAGCAGCAGAGAGAAATTGCTGACATAAGCCCTTAAGGAGCTTAGAAGACGCAGGAAGCCGCCCAGCAGGCGGCTGTTGCTGACTGTGCAAAGACCTGAGCAGGTAAAGCAACCTGGCCAGGTGAAGGCCATCCACCTAGCCTGGTCTTGCCTCCAGTCTCATGACCAGAGCTGCAAAGAGAGGCATCCCAATGGCGACACTTACTTTAGGCCGAGTGTCCACGACGTAAATGAAGTCGCTGCCTGGGTTGGCTTTCCTGATGGCCTGCAGCATCTGCTCATCCTCCAGACACCGGGCGCTGAAGCCGGACAGGGGCTGGCTGCTCCGGCAGATGGAGGCCTGTAGGGAGTGGCCACACCAACACAGCTGCATCAGGCAGCTGTGGCAACTGTACCCGCCAAGGACCACCGAGTGCTTCTCCACAGCAGAGGGCTGCTCGGTCCACTTACACCTCACACATCATCCCTTCTGGAGACCGAGGTTGTTGTTTTTTTTTTAAATTCAGATATAAGAAAGCACAGCATAGGCAAGCTGTCCAAAAAGTCTTCTGTATAAGAAACTGGGAATGCATCAGATGTTTGAAGAAGATCCCAATTATAAAATTGGAGGTCATTTAAATAATCTACTTTTCTTCTCAATAGTACTGTTTCATTTTTTCTATTGAATATAGAAATAAGAAATAAATAGCTCCTCCTAAAATTTAAAGGCACAGGGAGATGAGCTCATGCAGATATGAATGGGGGGTACCAGCAACTGAATTCAGAAAAATTATTTCCTACACCTGGATGCTGAAGTAAAATAATAATAGTGCCCATGGGTGGAGATAAGTCAAGAAGTATGTGGGACAGGATACTCCACATCCTGCTGGTTCTCTGTGCCTTAATATAGGTCCTAGTGACCCCACATGGAGGGTGATGGTATGTGCCTGTTCAGTGCCAGATGTGCTCAGCATAAAAACTGTTTACTTCATGTTTTCTTTTAATCACAGAAATCCAAACTTTTCCACCTAAAGCCAAATAACTTCTGAAGTGAGTGGCGAAGATCATCCTTGGTACCCCAAATTTGTTTTCTTGTCCTCTACAAAATGGAACCCCAACTTTACTGTTTGTAGGAGTATCCACAAGACCGTATATTCTCACTTGTCTGATGCAGGTTTCCTGTGTTATTTAGGGATCCTATCAGTCAAATGTGATTCTAGTTCCTACAAATTATATATAATATATATATATATCTTTTAAAAAAACTACTTTTTATAAACAAAAATTTCTTATATTGAGACCCTTTTTTTAAGTACCACTAAAGAAAAAGAATGAGTCATGGTCTTCAGGGGCTTTTCTAAAGCAGACACTGCAAAAGATCTCCAGCTTGAAGATAAGCCCAGCATCCCCTACGGGAATGACTTAAAAGAGGATATCACTCACTTGAATGATTAAGTTCAGGTATTTCCTGAATCTATCCTCATACTTTATTGCCAAATAAACATGGAAGGTCAACTTCTACACAAGAGTTTAAATGCAGTGTGCTGTGTCATAGCACACAATATTCACGTACCTTTGTGAATTCAAACACATGCGCACAGCAGAAATCCTCTAGAAAATGCCTGTTCACAAGAACAGCAAAGCAGAAAACAAAAGCTTGCCTTGAGACTTACATGGTTATCTTTATAGTAGTAAGAAAGGGCAGGAAATCGCCGTCTGCTCCGGAACTTGGAACTCCCCACTATGATGTGTGCCGTGGCTGACTTGGGAACATACAGTTCAGTAGGGTAAGAATCACAAACCTGCCACAGAAATTACAAGGGGATTTTCAGGCAATCTAGTCATGCTTTGTGTACTGCCACAAGAAATTCCTGTCACCAACCTTCCAGGTTACATGCTTATATTCTTAACTGACTTTTTACAAAGGAGGCTATTTCAAGGAAACTAAAAGCTACTTCAGAAAAATAAAATGCAGATTACTTGCCGCTCAAGTCAGGACCTAAATCCTCAGCTCACACTAAGTGCATTCCTGTCTCGGAGCCAGCCATCAGGCCAAGGCCCTGCTGGCTGCTCCTTCTCCTCTTATTCCCAAATCTCACCCTTCCTTCAAGAGGCAACCCAAGTTCTACCTCCATCCCTGTGCTTCCTGAAGTCTCCTCCCTGAGTAACCAATTCATGTAGCTTTCTAGACCTGACTAGAAACACTATAACACTGTTGGGGACTGGCCAACACACAGAGCACAGATACAATAGCTTCACTTTTGTTTCCTCTGTGTTGATTTTATAAGTGGTAAGAAATGATTTACTCCTTCTATAATTGGCTAACAGTGTTTCTCATGAGGGGAACCTGGTACATGGGAGTGAGGGAAATCCAGGTACTTGGTACCCAATATAAATATTGTTGCTCCTGTTTTAGAACAAAGTTTTCTGACTGGTGAATAAAACCTCCACCAGTATTTCCATTTCCTTATCTGGGCACTCTGATTTCCTACTCTCTAGAACTGATATAAAACAGGAAGTTTTTTGAAACAATAGGCCAGAAATAATCCATAGGGTTAATACAAGGATCAAATCAGATAATATACTTTATATAAATTATTATGTTTGACAGAAATGTCAGTGATGGCCACTGTGATAGTAGTTGATCTGTTGCTAGATACATATTTTGCTTTGACATCAGCTGGTGAATCTTTTTGCAATGTAAGGTAGTTCAGATGGCAGTTGCCTGCGCTCTGCTAAGCAAAGTTATTTCCTGGGTATTTCAAGAGGAATTCTCTGGTAGGTGTGGCAACAGGGCAAATGCTTTATCTACTAGTCCCCTGTCCAGCTCTCCCTAGCCTTACCACTCTGGAAGGAATGAAAGCCCACCAGGAGTGAGGCCTGCACCTCCCAAGCTCATGTAATTGTCTGTGGTGATGTTATTGGCCCCAACTGTCTTTGTGACCAGATTGGTAAACTGTTGAGCAGGAGACAAAGGGTCACAAAAGTGATGTTCCCAGGTCCAAGGGGTAATTTCAGCATCTCATCAGATATTTTAGGGAAGATTACCAAATACATTACTATGGGCTGTGGCGCTGACACGGTGAAGGAAAATCCCATTCCAAGAACAGATGGTCCAGGGAGCACTTACAGGAATTCCTGCTCCAAGACGAGCCACTTCCTTCCCCATGCAAATCTGCTGTCTGATCCTTCCCTAAGTCACTCACCCAAAACATTATTACCCAGACCACACCTGCTTGTCTGAGGTTCAAGAGATGCCACATCATCTCACCAGCTCACAATGTTTTCTTAAAATAAGTTCTGGGTTTTTTTTAATGAGTAGGTTTTCAGGAAGTTGAGGAATACATCCTTCCAACAACACTACAAAATTGCAAAGTTACTGATTAAATAGAATAAGTAATGGGCGCGATTTCTCAACATACTGATTCCTCAATGTAGCACAGGGTTCTGGAGCTCCTGCCAGCAATTATGGTAGTTGTAAGAATTGTTGGCTATAAGGGTTCACATTTCCAACAAGAAATTATCTTTGTTGACCTGGTTATAGCCTTCCAGAAAATGCACCAAACAATGCCTGACAGTATCCACATGAGATGTGATCCAAACATCTTAATCTGACAGTCTTTACCGAAACCCAATCGCCTCACTGAGCACTTTGAGGTGAGAGCTGGTTATCAAGAACTGAGTAATATCTCATAGGCAATTTTCTTCTTTACATTTAGTACGTAATATTTACTTCAAGGAATTTATAGCATAATGGAGAGAAGAAGTAGTGGGTGAGCAGCACAAACTGATTTATATGTAAATAGTAAAATAATACAGAACACAAACTAGCACTATGGAGAACTGCAAAAAAAAAGATATTTTAAAATTATAGGTTGGGTTACACTTTATTTTATTTCAAAAGTAAGATATTAAAATTTTATGCTTTACTAGCTTAAAAAAAGGACTATTTCAGAAATGAGGCAGAAAAGAACTTTTAGCTTAGAGACTTATAAAACATACAAGTGTCTTATACATAGGGAGATTAATAATCATAATAGAGATGAAGTTGATCATAGTGGTGATAATTGGCCTGCTAAGACCACACAAATAGTAAAGGGTAGAAATGACTCTGTGTGCAGTCTCTACTCCATATGGACAACAGCGTCCTCTCTATCAGATGATACCACCAGCCCCTCTTGTCTCAAAGAACTTATGACAAGAAATTAGATAATGCTTATAAAGAAAGTTAAAGTAAACACTTCTTTTGATATCCTACAGGTAGAAGGATAGAAGCAAAAAAATAGGACATAACCTTCTCAATGAGCTATTACTCAGAACATATGAAATAGTCCATTATTTTTACATTGGTAATAATAAATAAGGATATATCACCCTTCTCCCTATTTCACAGATATATATATAAGACAAGAAAATCCCCTAGATTTCACCTTTTCTGCCTTTACATACTGTGTTGACGGTCTGTTTGAGTTTTGAGTTTGAAAAGAAAAGCTGAGTAACTCACGGCTTGCAGACTTTACAACACAGGACATAAGTGACTCAATATGAGTCACATGTGGGGTGCTACTTCTAGAAGGAAATTTCATCAAAAATAGGAAGAACCTACGTCTCCAAGAAAATATTTTTCCACATGGTGTCATTTAACCTCATTTTCTTCTGCACTCCCAGGATGTCTTAATATTCCTTCAAATTTTCTTTTCTAAACTTGGACTTTCCTATCTTTCACTTCAGAGCTAAAGATTCACTTCAAAATCACTTTGCATGAGAATTAACTATTCTGATTATTAGCTAGACACTAATTTTTTGAGATAAAAAGGCTCCATCTGTTCACAAGTGCTATGATTATGGATGTAAAGATAACTATGAAGGTTCAGTATCATAAAAGTGTCCATTCTATCCCAAATAACCTATCAATTCAAGATATTCAAAAGAATCACATAGGAGGATCTGACCTGTAGGATTTCAAGATTTATTATAAAGCATTAATAACCATAATTAGTCAAAATGCAATTATGGAAATTACACAACACCAAATTGGGACAACGACTGGAAAAGACCAGTACAATATGTACAAAAAATTTGTGTAAGCCTATTGACTGGAAATTCTACCTGTGGGGGAATAAAAGAAATTCCACCTTTAGGAACCCATCTTTAAAAAAAAAAAAAAAGAACTTTAACACTGGGAAAGGTACCAGGATGTTCTCATTGTTATTTAAAATAGTGAATGCTATTGACAACTATTAACAAAAATTAGAGACTAGGTGGGTAGACTATGACATGAGTGTTTTAAAACACTACAAAATATATTTGCTGATAAGAAAGTACTCACGAAATGCTATGTGAAATATTGTAAAAAGAAACAAGGTCCAAAATGGAGTCATGGATCCCAGGCCCACCAAGATTTAAAATGTAACCTAAGTGTAGTTTCAGCATTTTCCAAAAACAACCAGTCTGGAATTCCCTGGTTAGCACTAGTGAAATAAGCTAATTAATTAAGCCACCCCTCCACCACCTCACATCCCTAATGGATGGGGTATGAAGTAATCTGCCTGAAGTAATTCTCTTTTTTTGCTAATAATCCTGTCCTATTTTTTTCTTTTTGACCATAAAATCCTTTTATTTTATACAATTTCTTACAGACCTTTGCTAGGTGGGTTGTTGTCTGATACATGAATTGTTAAAATTATTAATTCAGTTGGATTTTTTGCTACTTAACAGAGTAAAAACAAAACACAAGGCATATATGCGGCCTGATTCCACTTTTCCCATATATTTGAATGGCTTCTCTTGATCTGAATTTTCCAATTTAAAGTGACAAATACACATTCATTATAATAAAAAAGTGAGCTATACAAATGGAAAAAAATATAGGAAAAACTTAAATATTAAGGCAATGACATGGTGGGGCTTTTATTCCTTCTTTCCTCCTCTTATAAACCTTCTGCAATGTCCTTACATTACTTTTATGACTGAAAATATTTTTTAAACTAACTGGGAAACAAATATTGATGTGTAAACCACCATAATGAGTACTATGGGATTACTTCTGCCACTCCTGCTTCGCTTCCTCTCCATATTCCTTCCTGTAAGTGTAGACCATTTCTCAACATTTCTCTAGGGAAGCCTCTTGGTGACCTTGTGTACCAATCAAGAGTTTAGTGAGTACAGAGAGGAGCTGGTGCCAAACTGCCATCAAGTTTCTAAGACATCCCCACTAATCACTCAATGTACTATAAAAAGACGATGGGAGAACAAGGTCCCAGCCAGCTCCCCGCTGACCGCTGGCTCTGGTGCTGGCCACTGGGCACTCTGGTTTTCCATTTCCTCAACCAGCAGAGGAAAGAGTGCAGAAGAAGCGCAAAAGTTTTCCTTGTTCAAACTTTCAGACTCTAGGTGCAGGTAGGAAATCCCAGGTGGCAATGACCAAGGGAAACTGTAAATCACACACTTGAATTTACAAAGAACTATAAAAACTAGAGGAGATCAAGCAAGTCATGTTTAACGATCAAAACGTGATTTCACAGGGCTTATCTGGAATGCACTCACTCTGTAGTCTCTGTTCACATCACTGAGCTGCCAACTACTATTAAGGAAGCCCATTCGCTTGTATTCCTCACTGAGATCAATCAGCATCCACCCTTGTTCACGTTCTTCTTTATCCAGTTTGGGGTTGAATGAAAAACAGTACAACTCCTCATATTTCACTGCAAGAAAAGTGAAAAATAAGATCAAATCAAGTGAAGCCAAAGCTAGGGAGAAAGTGGCCCAGAAATACTTCCTGGACCAGAGAACCCTCACCCTCAACATGTTCCCAGGAGCTCCCTGACTCTGTGGGCAAGAGAAGTGGACCTCAAGACAGCTGGACTTGATTTTGCAGGGCCTTCCTTCCTTTTAGAAACAAAAGAAACAAGAGGTCCAAAATGGAGTCATCTATGCCTAGCTCACCAAGATTTAGTGCTGCCTTTTTGTTTTTCTGCTGCTTTTGAGGATATATTTTCCAAGCCACACAAAATATGAAGCTTTAAAGTCAATTATGAACATATATATTCCTTACACATCAAAAATTCAATACATTTACGTGTATGTAGCTTGGGCTTGGGGTGGTAACTTGGCCACTGCCACATCCTGATGCTTGAGGATATTAATAAAGAAGTAACACCATGGTAGTAATACCTGCAGAGGGATCCAAATAGTATCTCAATTAAAATATATGAATAAGTAACTTTAATAATAATAGAAAAAACAAAATAGCTGAAAAAGTAGAATATATGTTTGTACTGAAAACATCCAAACTTTGAACAAGTTAACCATCACAGTTATGCTTCTCAGGGGATATTGATAGGAGTCAATAAAAATATGTCCGTCTTTAATATATGGCACATTCTTCCCAAGGGGCAACTTGAAGGATGTATGATAAAAGTCTCTCAATCCTGCAAGGGTATCTTTGTCTTCATGCAGAGCTTTTTATGCTAATGTGGCCATGCTCAATAGTTCTACCATTTCCCCATCACCACCGCCACCGCCAAGGCCCTGAATAGGATCCCACCACCAGGGAGAGACTGCTGTAACAACAGGCAGCCAGAGATGAAGACTCAGTGTCAGCTTGTGATTATATTGAGGTGACTAATCTACAAGGGAGAAGAAAGATAAGGGTAATATTTTAAGTATCAGACATTTACATTAGAAGACTACGATGTTTAGGTGAGATAAACTGCATTTTATTTCATTCTATCTCTTGATGTCATATTTCTGAACTTCAAAATTTATAGTGCTCACTTTGCAACACATGAGGAAATGCACACATACAGGTACATGCAATATGGAGCAAACACTTTCACGCTTTCAGTAAGAACTATTTCTTGTAATCTTAGCCAACTGTGCAGATGGCATATAAAATTGAGGTCTTGTTCTGGGAACAGTTGACTTGTCACTGATCCATCCTTTCCATCTCAAAGTAACAATTTCATGACTCAGGCTTCTGATATTATATTGTTAACCACAAGTGCAATTTGTTTAAGATGTCAAAAGACTTTCTCTTGAGAAAGCCTCCATTCCCTCATGAACGAAGAGCTAATGAGTAGGGGTAAAGATGGAAGTTCAGTTCCACTTGTTAAATATTTGCAAATAGTTTTAATGTGGAAGAAAATCCATTCTCTGACTCCTGAGAGTTTTCTGTGAATGAGCTGATGCCTATTGCCATAGAGAAGAGGCAACAAAAGTATATAAAATTAAAGCAATAATTTACAAGGAGATCTTTTTGAGAAGGTCACTCAAGTTGGAAGACCTTAGAATGGGTTGCCAATGAAATGATGCCATATTTTCTTTCAGTTTTTTGTTTTGTTTTTGTTTTTGTTTTTGTTTTTTAAGGAAAAGGTGGTCAACCACACTTCCGACCCAATATAAGTAAAATTCTACACGAAAGTAAGAAGCACACATTTTTGTTAGTCAAAGCTCAGCTTATCAACGTGGGCACATTTCTTACCCAAAGGTCAGCTAAGGGAAGACATTCAGCTGAGCACTCACTGCCCACTGTGAAAAATTAAAAAGTGCCATCAACAATGATGCAAATTTTATTATCCCCTTTTGCAATATTCTGTTCTCCTCACCTCCTACAACATACATAGTAGCATGTTTAGTAGTGGGCAAGAAAATCATTAAAAGCAAAAGCAGTAGGGTTGAGAAACTTCTAGTCACTAGTATCTGAACTGAGATAAAGTGTCTGCTTGAGAAAGGTCACATCCTTGATTTTTCACCCTCTCTTACAACAGACCTAGTAAGGACACTGCTGAGTTCTCACAGCAGGAGCTACCATGCCCTATATAAAATGTCTCCTGCTGTTAGTGTCCGGTCAACAGGCAGGGTCCTAAAGGCCTCACTCCAAGGCCCCATCACTGGAGGCCACAAGAACTCTCCCAGGAGAAGCAAAGGCCAACTCTATGCCTCTGGACTATGAAGAAAACAAAAAGTGCATTTTTCATTTAAAACGTGTTCAGAAAAAGTTAGCATGGAAATTATTCCAGTATTTATTTACCTACTTAAGTCATAAAATTGCTAAACAAAGGTGGATTTGGTGGTTTTTCATTTACTTAAAATTTCTGACAATTTCTAAAATACCAAGTTAACTTAAAAATAAGCAACATTTGGGGCCCTCCTTGGTGGCACGGCGGGTTAAAGCACAGCACCGTGAAGCTGGCGTTAGCCGCTTCAGTGCCAGTTTGATCCCCGCCCTGGAGCTGACCCACATAACACAGCAGACCTCTCCTGTCTCTCCCACTGCTCCCCTCAGCAGTGTACTTCTTCAATCTGCTTGTTCTGCTCCCCACTCTGACTAAGGTGAATCTTTTCACCGCCCCTGTACCTCTGGCCTGTACCCCACTTCTGTATGCATAAATAAATAATAAATCTTTTTTTTTAAAAAAGCAACATTTGGGCTACTTTTCTAGGAAAGGTAAATCCCATTTAGGACCAAGTAGACAGTTGAGCCCAAGTCCAGAGATGCAGGTTTTGACTCTTTTTGCAGTCTTTCATCCTGTGTTCTTTAACACAGAAGCCCACCCACATTCATGTTCACTGTATCAGGTTCCACCCCATCCTTCTCATCAGCTCCTTCACTTTGGTAATGTCAGTCCTACTTCCTAGAGAAGCTCTAAGCCACCAACTAGAATCTCTTGCAACTCAGAAGTACTTATCCTGCAAATGGTCCTATTTCTGTACACAACCTCTGCTCTTTCTCTTCCATAAAAAAGGAAAGGTGTTCATCCCACCAAATAAGAGAGCTGTGGCTAAAGCAAAACAACTCAAGGAGAAAGAAAAATAACTCAGGCCCTCCCTGGTGGTGCAGCGGGTTAAAGCACAGCACTAAGAAGCTAAAGCCACTTCAGAATGAGTTCTATCCCCAGCCCTGGAAGTGACCCAGATGGCCATGGCAGACCTCCCCTGACCCACCCACTGCTCCCCCCAGCAGTGTACTTCATCAGTCAGCCTGTTCTGTTCCCCACTCTGTCTCTGGAGAATCCTCTCACCACCCCTGCACCTCCGGCCTGTACCCCAGTTCTGTATGCATAAATAAGTCTTTTCAAAAAAAAAAGGAAAAATAACTCAGCTTGTTTCTCAGGTATCAGGCTAATAGTTATGAAAAAAGATTATTCATGAACACGATGCTGGGGAAATTACACTATTGCTTTCCTTACGTAAGTTTTTAAAAATCAAGGAAAAACAAACATGACTCAGAATTAGCAGAATGCAAAGGGTGAGTAAGGGAAGAAAGTGTAGGACCAGTCATCAAAAGGACACAGAATTGTAGGGGGGCAGTTCAAACCAAAAGTAACAACTGAAAGCAAAAATTTCTCCCAACACGCTGCTTATTTGGGCCAAATTAAAATAAAAGCAGTTGAAAACCTATTTAAAGAAGGGTGAGAAGATAGCTATTACTGGATTTTGCATATTTAAAATAAAAATAAGATCTTTGCCTTCTATTTTTAACACAAGTACTTGAATTAAATATTAGTTCTGAGGAAGCTACTCCTTAATGGTAAAGGGTGCTGGACTTGATTTTTAGTATCATTAAATGTAATTACTGCTGTAAAACTTGCTTAAGCAGCAGTGACTTAGGCAAGGATGGTAAAAGTTAAACTAAATAAATAAAACTACATCCACCACTAGATAATTAAAATAAAACACAGCAGCAGAATTGGAGACTAAGAATAAAATGGAAGGAAAAAAACGTATTTTAGGGAAAATAAACAAATGAAATTGTTTACATGCTACATGGCCTACAGACACCACAGAGGACAGAATAACTGATACAAAAATAAACAGCAAGAGGCAAATTAGAGGGAGGAGAAAAAGAAAGAACATGGGAAAAAGAGAAGCCCTGTGAAAAATTTGGGTCTTTTAGTCAGAAAAAAAATGTATACCCTTATTAGTACTTTAATACATCTACAGGGTTAACTTATTTTCCCATTTAGCTATTATTTTATTTTAGCTAAATTATTTCTTCACCAGGAATCAGAGTTTACTGAATTTGGCTACATTATTTTTTACTGGGATCTTTAATAGTCCATGACCAAATTCTTACTGATCTTAAATCATACAAAAGCAAACCAATAAAATCTCTGCAATTTTTAAAAATAATTTTATTTGGGCCTTCCCTGGTGGCGCAGCGGGTTAAAGCACAGCACTGAGAATCTAAAGCCGCTTCCGCATGAGTTCGATTCCCGCCTGTCCCGGAGGTGACAACATGGCGTGGCAGACCTCTCCTGACCCGCCCGCTGCTCCCCTCAGCAGTGTACTTCGTCGATCCGCCTGTTCTGCTCCCCACTCTGTCTCTGGAGAATCTTCTCACCCTCCTCATCTCTGGCCTGTACCCCAGTTCTGTATGAATAAATAAATAAATCTTAAAAAAAAAATAAAATAAATAATTTTATTTACCCTTATCCCAGAAATCCTAATTCAGTAAAGAGACCATGGAGAGTTCTGAAAGCTTCTTTTCCCCAAGTCTTGACTTAATGGGCTCTCAAATATTTCTTCTTTTGTTTAAAAAAAAAAAAAAGCTATCCTCTACAGGACTTAGTGTGTAGGGAACTGAAAATATATGATATGAGTTGGCAACAACCAGAATAATCACAGTTGCATATACATGTGGTGCTAGAATTCAGACTATACTTCCCTTAGAACCCTTACTTGCCAATACATACCCTATTTGTGATATATGGAGAGGAAGGTGCAAGTGCATTTTGTAAAAGATTTTGGATGGTTCTGATAGGCCACCCTTACGCTTGAGAAAGACCCCTCCATCTTTCAGCACCTACATCCAAATTCAAAAGCTTGCTTCTGAGGCTGTAGACTACAATACATCCTAATTTTAGCATGGCCTCTACCATTAAAGCATGAAACTGGTTGGGCTTTATTTCATTTTCCCACAATTATTAAACAATAATACTATGTTTCATGGAACTTGGCATTCCTAATTCCAAAGTCAAAGTGATGGTGGCTTTCTCAAAATCCTCTAAGGTAAAGGAATCTTAAATGGCTTTCATTCAGTTAGTTACTATGGTTTTCTCTCTTGGTCTTTGACTACATCCAATTCCTAACTCCCAAAACTTTATTTTTAAGAGAAAGTGTATATTTTTCAAAGCAGGGAACACAGTAATTTTCTTCCCCTGAGCTCACTGTCATCAGGGACACAGCCTTCACTGCCACTATGATCTGCTCTTGCAGCTGCTCAGCCTTTCCCAGTTTTCTGTGCTATTCCTAAATCCCATTAATCTAGTCAGAGCACATTTATTATCCAGTACATCCAAATCAGTGACAGAAATTGCTGGCACACAACTCTCTTTGCATTCTCTGCCTCTTGTAACCTAGTGTGCATCTTCCCAGAACTTCTGTTCCAATTATAGTGCAGCCTCTAAAAAGTTCAACTGCTTTCCTGGTTAATTCTGCAGCTCTTTTTAACACACTAAGATGAACATGCTCAATTAACTGCCTTGTAAAGATTAGCCAATATTGACAGTTCCCTGGCATGGTTTCCATTACATGACAGTTCTTAGGTATCGGTAAATGGATTGGCCTCATTATAAGAAGCTGAAGATCCAACAAAATGCCTTGAAAGGTTTGTAAATTAACATTTATCCTGAGTCAGAAAGTACTCAGCACAATATAAGCACATATCCTACTTATGAAATGTGTCATAGCTATTACTTTTATATCAATATAAAAGATCTCTTTTCATTGTATTCTCAAGAGAAGCTAGATGTTCATATTTTCAATAAAACACCACAGTTCACACAAGCCACACAGGGGCTCCTGCAGCTATAAAGCTGAACAATGTAATAATAGTAACTGAGAGCACGTATTTTTCCAATCAACCAAACATTCTTCCCACAAAATTAAGGAGGTCTTGTTTAGGTGAAACTATGTATTTGTACTATCACTGATACTAACAAAAGTCTAGTTATACCAATCTTGGGAAACATGTATTACTATCAAAAAGCAATGGAAACCAAATTTTAAAAATCCCAACTTAGAAAAAATCAACAGAACAGATTGATGACAGTGTTTTGCATCCAGGACAATTTATCCCTTTTGTTTTAGGTCTCAATCCAGGAAGCTCCATCACTCTAATGACAGAAGGGTCTAATTTTTTAAAAATTTTCATATAATAGTTTATTTTTACATCATTTTGTGGCTTTTCCATCTTAGCTGTAATCCCCGTGGGCTTCCCATCACCAATTCACCCGTGTGCCTTTCCATAGTCCAGTGCACTTCCTCCCACCCTCCATTTTTGACTCTGTTCCCCACCCCACTCCCATAAAATGTCTCCGGTATATAGCTGTTCATTATTATTATTTTTTCCCACTGATCCTTTATGCTTCTGCTATGAGTGAAATCATCCTGTAGTTTTCTTTTTCTTTCTGGCTTATTTCACTAAGCATGATCCTATAGGGCCTAATTTTAAGGTGATTCTACTCTGAAAATAAAACACTTTATAACCCCTACCAAGATAAAAAGAATACTAAGGATAATGAAAGAGATTTATAGATAACTTAGGGAGACACCCTCAAAGCCAAGAAACTATCATTTTTGATTCCCTGGACTCATTTGAGGCCTGAGATAACAGGCAATTTCTAAAACCCTAAGACTCTTACGCACTTAGCAATTCCTTGAACACGAATTGTGAATTTCTTCAGAGTAGGTCCATGCTCAATGCCAAGGCCCTCTGCTTACCTGGCCTTGCAAGGCGTATCAGAGAGATGTACACATCATGGCAATCTCTTTCCTGCGGTATGACGAGCTGTAACAATTGAAAGTTCTTGCAGCGAATAAGCAGAGGACATCCAGTCGCGGTTGTCGCCTGTTTTTCAATGGTGGAAATCTGACTGTGCAGAATCTGTGAAGCACAAATAACTTGTAAAGATGACAAAGAGTAGCCCAGATCTCAGGGTGGGCAACACAGCCCCTCAAATTCAGCTAGTTCAGTATCTGCACTCAGGTGACAGGCATGGAGAGCTTGGAGCAAGAACCAGCTGTCTAAATTTACCATTTTGTTTTTCAATAACAACCTGGTGTTATGTGGGCTAATTACATGAAGCAAACTATTCAGCATGAATTTGCACAAGTCCAGGTAAGAGAACATTTGGTGGTTAAATGTTGAATGCACTGGAAAGCTAAAATAAAACACAATCATGAGAAGCTGGTAAACTAAACCTTGCAATCAACAAAAGTTAGAGATGGCTTCTCTGGAAGGTACCACATGCTCCTTAACTGCACCAGGAACACAACTTGAGGCTGTTGTCTTATGAGCTGTGGGAGGCTAGGCAAGCTGCCGAGGAGACTGATTTCAAGGAAATCATGCTGACCTGCAGTCCAGTGGGTCTCTGCTCAACCCGCCATGACAGCATTGCCTTCTAAGTCCTCGCCACTAAGTAGCACCTGCCACCTCCTGCCAAGTGTGTCACACCATCCACAGATGACAGAAAGGGGATATTCTGCAATTCAGAGATGCTGATTCTTATCATCACATAATGAGTGGATGGCAACCTAAGAAAAATCTAATAGTCTCAGAACTAAGTAGCAGAAGGAGCTGATGATGAGATTCTTCCCTAGCTTTTCTTCATTAAAATTATCAGAGTCATGGAGACAACATACTGAAATGGTTGGTGGCTTGCATTATAAGGATCCTATGCATAAAAAGTACTGTAAGTAGAACATCAGTGGTACTATGTCTCACACACAGACACGAGTGAGTCTCTACTTGGATAGTGAGGGCATGAAGCACTGTCTCTCTGGGTATGCTAGCTCTATCTTTGGTGAGGTTCAAGTGATCAGTGTTTAAAAGCAATGAGCAAGTAGATTTGACTAAGGATGAAGAAGGGCAAAATTCTTATGTCAAAATAGTCCTCTGAAGAGTCAAACACTAAAAGCCCACCCACCTCACCCTCAGGAAAACAAACCAAACAAAAAACAAAAAAGATATTAAATCTTTTACTTTAAACAAAGACAAACACATATAGCCAAAAGGAGGCCACACCTACCCATGTTTCTTTCCTTGTGTCAGGAGAATTTTCCACAAATATGACATGAGTAGCCGTCAAGTACAAGGTACCCAAGGCTGCTTTTTTAGAAGATATTCGATCTACCAAACGGACATTTTCAACCTAGAGAAACCAGTTTGACAGAGTTACAGCAAAGCAAAAGTACAATTTGCAAATAAATAAATAAATAAATAAGTAGGTAATCTCGTATTGAACCCAAAATATAATTTTTAGGGTTCTCCCAACACTAAAAACCAAAACTTGTCTCCTTCATATCTCATATGATTGTATACCAACAGATAAAAATTCACCAATTATATAAATGATCTTAAATATATCATAAAAGATACATAGACCCTATCCTTTAAGAATCCCCCCTTTGTGTGTATAGGTTTGACATAGATCAGCATTTTTAATTACTGTAATATAATTTAAGGCAGGAAGTATATAGCTATTAACACTTAAATAATTTATTTTCCAATGCACTTCTCAGTTGCAGAAATGGCCTCAACTGTTGCTACTAGCTGTTAGCTAGTAGGATATACACATTTATATATGTGGTGGGGCAGGCAGGCAGACAGACTGAAAGATAGATGGGCAGGCAGACAAACAGATATATAGATAGACAGAGAGGAGCAAAATGTATCACAGAAATGTTCAGTATGTTTACAAGTGAAACCTACCACATAAAGGTGGCTCATGTTCATGTAAAATGAAATCTAACAAATGGAATTCTCACTACAGAGCTAACATTTGAACTACCAGAAGAAATTTCTGGAAACAATTTTTATCACGTACACATCTGTTACATGCTGAGCAATTTCAAGGGTAAGCACTCTGGGATTGTTCCAGGAACGAATGTAATGGAAATGGCAAGGCAATCTCTACAGGGCAAGTGAAACTGAAGCAGCGACAACTCTCATCAGGCAGAGTCACCAAAACCACCAGATGAACATTCCAATACTGACCACAGGATTTAGCAGTGCTACTTGTAAAGGCCAAAGATCAACTGTCTACAAATAGACACAGGCTCAGCCCTCACTTCTCAAGTCAGGATGGCTACTTGCTTTCATTAAGGCAGCTTAGGAACAAGTGAATGGAATTTGTTCCATTTTCTAATGGAGTAGATGTGATTCTGATAGGTTGAAAACCCCACTTGTCAACTGCTCCAAGGAGACCTAGAAGGATAAATAACTGATAAGCATGACAAGGAGTAGCCCAGATCTCTGAGCAACACCCACTAAGAACTCCTCAGGATAATGCCGAGACAAACAGCACTCACGTTATCACACCTCTGTCTTATCTGAGCCCTCAAAACCCAGCCAGCTTTCCAGGAATAGAACTTGAGAGTCCCATTCCACTTATTCCCAATTTCCAGGGAAATTAGATGTTTGAAATATTTAAATTAGATATTTAAAATATTTTTAGTCATGCAATCTATTCTGGGTTGCTTGCATAATTCCTGAGGCCTTGTGAATAAGTCTGTTAAAAATATTCATTCAAAAATAGTGTTCTTAACCTATAGTGTAATGTTGTAAAAAGTGTTCCTTTTGTTGTATTCTTTTTTGTACATTATTTCGTATGGTTATTCATCATGTTCCTTTTTCGTAATGATAGTACTGGTCTACTTTCTTTTGTGTGGTCATTTCTTGTATAATAACTATTATATAGTGCGGACAGTAGCCCATGGCCTAGTTTTTATATGGGTATTTTATAACTGCCTCTTTACCAACTAATTTTATTGGTTCTAGTAAAATTTTACTAGTTTCTTGGAAGTTCTGAATTGAACTGAATAATGTTGAGCATCTTTCTCATGTAAACCCATTCAGGAGCAGGGAAACACTTCCAATATTTCACTATTGAGTTTGATATTGATTTTTCTTATCACATTGTACAACTGTCCTACACCTAGTTTATAAAGAGTTTTTATTTTTAAAAATAAGGGATAAATGTATTTAGACAAATATTTGCTTGTTTTACTTAAGTTCTATAGTCATTCTTATACGAATAATCTTGGGAATCTTGAATTCCAGTTTGGAATTGGTGATTGATATTTTAATATTCCTTATACTTTGTCAGCTATAATTATTTTGTTTTCACATTCTTTTTTTTTTGCATCTATGTTTTTAAGAGAAATTGGAACATATGAGTCTGCTGTTGTAAATCTGTGAATTAATCATAGATAAGATTTCATCTATTAGGGAACTTTTAGCAAATTATTTGAAACAGACACAGGTACTTCTTTATACAGAAATAATTATTTCAATTTCTTACAGGTTTGTAGATCTGTTCAATGTTTTCAATTTTTAATAAATCTCATTTTGACATTTCTTTACAAATCATCTTCCAGTCAATCTTCTAGTTCTTAACAATATGTGAATTCTTATTTGTGATTAAATCACTATTCTTTCACTCATTCCTAATATTGTAAATTATGCTTTTATTTTTGGGGCACACATTTTTCAAGTAACAAGTCTTAGAATTACTGGTTGTATGTGTTTCATAACTTTTTTCAAACTTGTTTACTTGCACTTGTGTTTGTTAGTAAATACTTTAGCTTACTTTACTTGGGTAACGAATGTTGTTTTTTCTCTGTTTCTGAAATCTTGAGCTAAATAAACAGTACATTTTTAGTCTTTGTTTAATAACAACTTTTAGGCAATCATTTTCCTTTAAGTAAATCCTTGGCTGCATCTGAGTTTTGCTTGCATTATTCTTATTCTTCTTACTGTTTATTAAGTGCAGAAATGCAATTTTTCTTTATTCTTTTACCTAAGAGTTTTCAATTCCCCCTTGACTGGGTTCTTTTATTTAAGCTACTGTCATTAAACATTCTACTTTGAAGTTAACTATAAAAAAAATATATGTATAAAAATACATGAAAATATTTAGGGAGGAGAATGGCAAGGGAATATATTATTTTGGGACATTTATATGTAAAAACTCATGTGCATGTGCAAATGTGCCTGGTTAAGCTAAGCAGAGGTAATATCTCAGTAATATTTAAATATTTTTTCCTGCACTTACGAATAATAAAACAAAATTTTATTCTAATAATCATATTAAACTTAAGATAATATTTTGAAGCAACAAAATTAGAATGGCTTATCCCTATAGGAGTAAAGGACTATACTACAGAACAAAGTAACAGATGATGGTAGATCAGAACACTTTAAGATATTTTTCCATGTCTTTTGTTAACTTTGGATTCTGGTACAGGAACATTACATTTCAAAATTTGGCAATAGTACTGAACATGTCCCAAAGCTGTCAAAAGCAATTTTGAAGTATAGGGAGGAAAAAGGAAATAAAAATGAGGGAAACACCGAAAGCACAATTTCCCAGCTGATTACTAATGATAAAAGAAATGAGTAATAAATGTTAAAACTCAGTTGTCTGAGAAATTCCTGGAAGATGAGTGTACCACTCAGGGAACACCTCATGGATTATACTAAGAGAACCAGAACCTTTTTAACTAGGATGCTAGAGTTAGTTACCTTGAGGGAAAAAAATGCATCTCAAGTATTTTGGCAGTCTCTTAAAGACCCACTACTAACTCAGTCACTTTGCCTCAGTGTTCAGCTACCTTGATTCTATCTCATCTATACATATAACAAGATATAGACAATAACGCCTCTTTCATACTTGAAAAGATAAGACTCTTAGGAAATAACCCACTTCTCTAAACAAAGCAATTGCGATTTATTAACATGCTCCTAGGAAACACGCTTAAGACCCAATATGGATTCACATTCTCCAAATAGCAGCTAATCATGTAAGAGACATCACATATATCATTCATGCCTGGGTGCACATTTTTCATTCTGGTATTTTTGAAAGTGGAATGCACTTTATGTCTAACTTGGTAAGAAGTCATTTGGTCATTTAGTTGACAGTGCTTTGTCTTTCTTTGTAGTATAGAAAATCTAGGTGCATCATATAATCACTACATCTTAGATTTGCTGAAATGCTTGTCTATTTGTAGCCTTTGCTATAGAGATGATATCTGAAACTATGAGACTGAAAACTGGTGACCTTGGAAGGACACACAGAGTAAGATGAGAAGAGTGCTGAGGAAATCCAACTTTTAAACTTCTGATAGGAAAGGAAGAACCAGAAAAGCAAACGAGAAAGGGATGGCCAGTAGAGGGGCAAGGCGGGGGTATCAGAGAACACCATGACTGGAGAGCATGCTGAGAGGAATGTGTGAGAGAGAGGGAGTGCTTGTGACCAGTGCTGCCAGTAAGGGAGAGAATGCCCCATTGGGTTCAGCCACACAGAAAACGGACACTTTACCAAGAGTCATCTGGGATCAGAAGCCCTAAGGCAGTGATGGAGGAGTAAACTCAAGGGAGCTGAGAAAGTAAGGGGTCTACTCTACAAAAGTGAGTTTGGGAGTTTGGGCAAAAGCCAAGGGATAGCCTTGCCACTCAAATGCCACCCCATGGTAGCAAAGGGTCAAAACACGTGAAGAACTTTTCCGAAGCAACTAACAAAGCAAGACATTTTAAAGGAAGAAACCTATTAGCATTGCCACCAGGGGGATCTAAGTTCTGATGCACATGAAATAAAATAATTCCCAGTAGGAGGAATTTGTGAGAAATACATTTTGAAGGATTAAGCAATAAAAGATGAAGATCACTGGGAGAGGATTTATTTATCCTGCTAATGCTGCAGTCTCCCCAGTCCTATGAAGCTTTTTCCTCCAGTTTTAAAACTGATCCATTAAAACATTGGATTGTGAGTTAGGGGCCGTCCCTAGTGATGCAGTGGGTTAAAGCACAGCACTAAGAAGCTAAAGCTACTTCAGCATGAGTTTGATCCCCGCCTGCCCCGAAGGTGACCCACATGGCGTGGCAGACCCCTCCTGACCCGCCTGCTGCTCCCCTCAGCAGTGTACTTCGTGGATCTGCCTGTTCTGCTCCCCACGCTGTCTCTGGTGAGTCCTCTCACCACCCCTGAGCCTCTGGTCTGTGCCCCAGTTCTGCATGTGTAAATAAATCTTTTAAAAATAAAAATAAAATAAATTGTGAGATATATACTTACTCAATACTTAAGTATTCAGAAATACAGGAGGTAAAAGTCAACCAGTCCTAACCCAAGCACAACCTCTATCAATTTTT